GAATGCCTTGGGCATGAGTTATATTCTAGATCATGCTGCCTGTCCTCTGGTAGTTGTGGAAACTGGTTATTCAGCCATGTGTTCCCACTGCTGTGCATGCAATCTCCCCATGTAGCTGGTCTAACACAAATTAGATTTACATGAACCAGCCCACGTTTAATTTTACACTCAACTGATGCATGACTGCGGGCAAGCGTAGGTATGTGCATGTTTCTGACCACACAATTCCCCACGTGCATGAGAAAATAAACCTAATCCATCATCACCAGGCTTTTGGAACAATTCAGAAGTTTACCATTCAAAATACCATTAATGCTGATTTTAATTTCTTTGGTGTTTCCTAGAGGCAGACTTGCAAATGTGCTGTTAACTCAGATGACAACTGCTCTGGCTTTGCCAGCTATAATATTTTCTTGCCTTTGCTTTGCATGAAAAACAGTAAAATTATATCATGAGCTATCAGTGGGTTCATATCTCCCCAGTTCTGATGGTAATTGTGCTGCCTGGGAGATCTGGGGGAAATGTTTTCTGCTGTGGGACAGAAGGAAAGGAGCTTGTAGCCAGTTGAGTGTTGGGCTCTTCTCTCAAGTAACAAGCAATAGGCCAAGAGGAAATGGCTTCAAGTTGTCCCCTGGGAGGTTTCAGTTGTCCCTGAGGAACAATTTCTTCCCCTGGAGGGTTGCCCAGGGCTGTGCCAGGCTGCCCAGGGCAGTGGTGGAGTCCCCACCCCTGGAGGGGCTTCCAAGCTGTGGAGATGTGATGTGAGGGACACGGGGCAGTGGGGACCTGGCAGTGCTGGGGGAATGGTTGGACTTGATCTTGAAGATCTCTTCCAACCAGAACACTTCTATGATTCTCTGAATTTGATTATACTTCATCTTCCTGAGCTATCCCTTCTTATCAACTATTGGCCTGATTCATGTAAACACCAACATTTTTTTCTTTATTTATATGAAGAGAAGTCAGGTTCCTGGAGGAAGTCTAGATGAAACTCTAGAGGTCCTAGGGGTCTATTGTTATTTTTTAACTATCTCACTACCCAAAATGCATTTAAATGGAGTATTGTGTTAGAGTATGGTTGAAATGAATGACTAAACCTCCAAGCCCAGCTGATCATCCCACACCCTTTCCACCAGTGGGAGTCACCCAGTGCTTGTTAATATTCAGATATGCACATCTGAATATGGCCAAACAATTCATCAACTGTTCCTTGTCCTTCTTTGCTAGCCAAGAACAGCATCGTCCAGGGCTTGGAGAACGTGGAAGCCATGGAAGGAGGGGAAGCCCTGTTTGAATGTTACCTTTCCAAGCCCGAGAGCTACAACTACGACTGGCTGATTGACGATGAACCTGCCAAAACTACAGAGAACATTGAGATGGTTTACTTCGAAAATGGGCGCAGACATGTCCTGCTGCTGAAGAACTTGACTCCCCAGGACAGCTGCAGGGTGACTTTTATGTGCAGTGATGCTGTGACTTCAGCCTTCCTGACGGTGAAAGGTAACTGAAGCACTCGTGCATGGAGAGTCTTAAATTTCTGGTTAAAAAGGGCAAATGAATCAGCAAAATGTCACAGAATCACAGAATGGTCAGGGTTGGAAGGAGATCATCCAGCCCAACCTCCCTGCCAAAGCAGGTTAATATGATGGGTGGCAGAGAGGGAAAGTTGTATTTGTTGCTTGCTTCTTACCTAAATCTTCTTCCTACATGTTAAATGGATGATATTTTACAGTTTTCTTTTGTTCCCTTTCTTCTATGTGCCATGATGTGGATATAAACAGCATCATCAACAATGAGTTAGCAGCAAGTGACTGTCTTAGAGTTGTCATTATTCTGATGAGTTGGGTTGTGTTTACAGGTCCTTCAAGGATTTAGAGATGAGAGTCATATCATTATTTCTGTGTCCTTGTGTTTTATGCTGTTACTGGAGACTCCTTACAGAGCACATGAACAACCATCCTCAGTCATAGCATGGTATCTCTCTTGTGGTTTTCTGCTACTTGGAAAAGATAGACAGACATTATTAGGTTGATTTTTGCTGCAGGACTTTTTGGAAAGCTTCAGTCCTCAATGCTGCCTTCTGTTCTAGTGACATAACCTCCCTTTTAATGATCTCCTTGCTCTCCAAGGCCTGCCTGTCCAAGAGCTTCAACATATATATTCACAAAAATCTCTTGCCTGTATTTGTTTCTGTACCTGAGGGGTTTGAACACCTGTTTTTATCTATAGGGTGGCGCCTACAGATCTTGCAGCCCCTCAAAGATGTGGAAGTCTCTGCAGGGGAGAAAGCTACATTCAGCTGTGTCCTAAGTGAAGCTGTGCCAGTCAGTGAAGTTGCCTGGTACAGCAATGACGTCGAGATCCAGCCAGATGAGGACTGGGAGGTACAAGCAGATGGAAACAAATACACACTGATTCTGAGGAAAGCCCAACTGCATCATTCTGGAGAGGTCACCTTTGCTTCCAGGGAAGCAATTGCTTCTGCCAAGTTGTCTGTGATAGGTGAGTGTCTGTCGTTCTAGCTCAGTGGCACTTGAAATTTTGGTTGAGCTACAACATTCAATTTTCTAATCTATTCAAGGGAAAGACAACTAGTATTCAAGATTAATTAATCACATAGTAAAATCTTCATGTGGGTGAGATCTATGAAACACACACCGTGTACTTCACCCTCAACCTATTCTGGGCACTTACATATTAGGAACAGCAAAATACTAACCTCATGAACTCTTCCTGTTGACAGATTTTCTATAAGGAATTTGGCTGAAAATAGAGAAAATGACTTTTTCTGTTGCACTCGTGGTATCCAGAACTAAAGAACTGGCTGTTGACCTTATTTGCCTTTAATTTGTTGGACTGGTACCTTGTGGCAGGTCGTTCACTTGGTAAACGGGTTGAATCTGAAAATGAAAAGAGCTATTTCTGCTTTCTAAGCCACAGTGGAAGTTAAGTGAGGAACATTCTCCAATGTTCCAATCATGATTGTCAGTAACCTGTCTTGTAGGACACCAGGTCATTCCCATGATGTAATTCTTTGTTATTCCCTGGTGTTGTGATATATATATAAGTAGCAATTACACAAAAATGGAGTCATTTGCTATTAAATTACTAGAGTTACTCTATAATCCAACAATATCTTGATTCCCATTAAGGCCAGACCTGAAATATGTATGATTGAGACCAAATATTTTTGAAGTTTTCAGCTAAGTGCTTTGATGACACAGACAGTGTAGGGTCATCTTTATTTTGAGCTGCATGGGACAGTTGTGGTGGTTGGACCTGATGATCTTAGAGGTCTTTTCCAACCTTCATGATTTTATGAAAGCAGCAGGAAAAAATCACAACAATCTGTGACACTAAGTATGTGAGATGACAACTAGGAGATGGATGTTTGCTTTTAGCAGTGTAGATCAGGGCAGACAAAGGAAAATTGGTCCACAGGCATGTCTCATGGTCACAGGCATGGACTCACTCAACTCTAGAGTAAGACAAGTACTGGATCTGTTGCGCTTCCTTCTGATTGCTTGTAGAAGGCTCTTGGTTGTTTTCAAGCATTATTGCTCATGCTGTACATCACGGGACCTCTGTTGTGCCTTCAGCCCACCCCGATCCACCTGAAGAACCCGAAGTTTTAAGTAAGAACAGTCACTCTGTGACTCTGTCTTGGTACAAGCCGTTGAGCGACGGCGGTTGTGACATCCTAGGCTACAACGTGGAGAGGAAAATCCCGGGTGTTGGTTGGCAGTCCTGCAGCGAGGGCATTGTTCAAAACACGGAGTTGATGGTGGACAACCTCACCCCGGGTGAGCCCTACAGATTCCGTGTCTCAGCTGTAAACAAAGTTGGGGCCAGCGAGCCGGTGCACTTCCCTCAGATGGTGCAGCTAGGTGAGAACGGAGAGATGTCCCCATGGAGGACTGCAAGCTGCTGTAGACCCCGTGTTTCGCATGGCATGCTTGCTTCACCCATTCCAGGCATCTCCTGGAGGAGTTCACTCTACATCTTTCAGTGCTTTGCTACCAACACGATAGAGGAGAAAGCTTGGAAAAGTTGTTCTGGGCTGCCATGAACAAAAACTGCTGCGTTGTTAGCACTCAACACTCATTTTCTCCAAACTCCATCAAGGTGGTTTGCACCCTGCACGGCATCCATGTGTTGTCTGGGCATCATGAGTTTCTTTTTCTGGTGGAGTTTGGACGGAATGAGTTGAAATGGGCATGTTGGAATGCATTTGGGGTAAGCCAGACCCTGGTACCAACGCAGTGGGGGCGCAGTGTTGTCTTCTTCACCCATCGTTCTCATATTATTTGTGTCTCTTTTCCCATAACCCCCACAAAATAATGCTGGAGGACACAGTTTCTTTGATGTCTGTTGGTGAAACTTTGGAAGCTACAGTGGGGTGGAGAACCACTCCCTCAATCTTCTTTTCTTGTAACTCTTTCTGCGATAGTTGAGCGCCCAACAAATTCCTCAAAGTAATAATAATGATAATGATAATTATTTTTATAATAATAATTAATCCTCTTTTTGCACCATGACAACTTCCAGTGTCTCAGCTGGATCCTGATAACTCTGCATATGCTGACTTTGTCTACAAAGCATCTTGGCCAGTGGTCCCCTCACCTCAGTGAGACCTGCAGAGGGGCAGGTCGTGCTCAGCAGCATCCTGCTGTTGGGTGCTGAGCTGTGTGTTTGGCATCCCAGTTCAACACCTCCACGTTTAATGGACTTGTCTTGACTTCATTTTGAGTACTGATGTCATACAAACGTCATGCCACTGCCAGGCCTCCTTCCAAAGTGTGGAAGAGACAGAGAATTTTTAATTTCTTTATCCTTTTTGAGAATTTTTACTCTTTTTAAGCTATTGTAGATATATATTCTGATTTTTTTTTTACTTTCAAGACTGGGATGAATGCTGCTTTTCATATTCCCTTTTTTATTCTTTTTTATTCTTTTTTATTGTTTCTTGTCTCACTTCAGAATTGCTTCTCTCCTAAACAATAAGATCTTCTAGAAATCTGTAGGACTGCTTGAATACCAGTGATGGGTAAATGAAGATCGGCATATAGGAATGTGAAAAATGCAACCACTTTTGCATGTCTGTATATAAATGGAGCTGGTTTAAATGCTGGGAGAGCTTGTAAAGTTATTTGGATATTATCTTTGGAAGTGCAAACTTTGGATGTTGCCAGTCATTTTTGTTTTTCCTTTGGTTGTCCACAACAGCTAAAGAATCTCTAAACAAAGGATGGGATGCTTGATATTTTATGGAATGATCTCGAGTGCCTTAAAGCCAAATTATTATATATTTTATGTGTTAATTCACTTCTTTTTTTTTATAATTACAGAGGCTCCAGTTACAGTCACCCATCCTTTGGTGGGAGGATCAGTCACAGAAGGGGAAGTGGCTCGCTTGGAGTGTGAATTGTCAGGTGAAGCTGAAGAGAGAGTGACATGGTTCAAAGGAAAAGAACAAATAAAAGCTGGAGGCAGATATGAGATCCTCTCTGAAGGAAAGAAGCAGATACTCATCATTCGTGCATTTAAACCTGAAGATCAGGACACATACACCTGCATGGTTTCTCCAGAAGTCAAATCTGTTGCCAGCTTGTCTCTTGAAGGTACAGACAGCACCTTTCTGTGAGGTTAAATCAGTTCTGCATATGGACACCCAGGGGCAGCTCCACATCTTGGACTAGAATTCATTTTCTTTTACAAGCTGTGATGACAACCCAAAAAGAATTGTTATATTCCTCTTTGGTATTGCCCAGCATGCTTCTGACTCCCTAACAGCTTTGAGTAGCTTAGATAAGATTTTCCTGAGTCTGATATTTCAGGTGTGATACCTTAATTAACACCAATCACCTAGAGGTAATTGCCTCTACCTGGGTTTCTGGTGCCTTTTGAGATGCTTTTGGGTATTCTACCTGGCCTTCAGCTGCCACTTCAGAAATCAAAGGCTCTTTCCTATGTTCTGCATGGTATCTGCCAACCCCCCATCCTAGATATCCCAAATGGCTTTGGGTGATAGTCATCAACTGCAATATTTTAAAAAGGACAGAAATGTATTTATTGGGTTAAAAAGTGTAAAGAAGAAAAGTAAAAGCAGGTGTTGGCTGTGTTTTATGTACATGCATAGAAGCACAAGACAGTTGAGGTTGGAAAGGAGCACCCCAGACAGCAGAGTCCACCCACCTGCTCAAAGCAAGGTCACCTAGAACACGTTGCCCAGGACCACGGCCAGTTATATTAAATTCTTATTTTGTTCTCAACAGAATTAGTTAAGTGCCATCAACACCCTTCTGCCCAGGCTTTAGAATAACAATTCCATGTGCTTCCTTAAAGCTCACTCACAAGCTTTGTCTTTTCACATCTTATCCATTTAATTCTCCTCAGTTCCTACAGCGACAATGCTAAAAGAGATTGCCAAGGAAGCACCCCCTGCGAGCCAAGCAGAAGAGCTGGTGGATGGCCATGTCCAGCCCAGTTTGCCCCCTGAGGCTGCTCAGGAGGGAGATCTTCACCTCCTGTGGGAAGCTCTGGCCAAGAAACGTCGGATGAGCCGGGAGCCAACCTTGGATTCCATCAGCGAGGTGCCTGAAGAGGAAGAGAAGCTTCAGAAGCTGAGGAAAGAGGAAGCAGAGATGTCTCACTATTACTCAGAGGAGTACTCCACGTGTGATGAGCTGGCTAGGACAGGAGAAGCAGATTTCTCTTTCACTAGCTCAGATGACGAGTCTAGAGCTGGGACTCCTTCACTAGTCAACTACCTCAAGAAAGCTGGGAAGACAAGCATCAGCGTTACCAGCACAGTTCAGTCCACCTCCACAGGCAAATTATGGAAACAGTGGGAGAAATCCAGTGTGGAGACTGTCGTGGCTGCCCCAGCTGCTAAGCCAGCTGAACCAGAAATGCCAGATTTAGACGATCCTTCCATGAACAAGGCCGCCGTGAAGATCCAAGCTGCTTTCAAAGGCTATAAAGTCAGGAAAGAGATCAAGCAACAAGAGTGCCCAGTGTTTACCGAGACCTTCAAGGATTTCTCTGGTGAGCCTGGAAGCACCCTCCACCTTGAGTGTGTGGCCCACAGCAAAACTGATATGAACGTCCGTTGGCTGAAAGATGGGGAGGAGCTTTCAGATGGTCGTTACTATCACATAGACAATTACAGTGATGGGACCTGCTCCTTGATAATCACTGGCCTGGAGAGGAAGGATGCAGGTAAATACACCTGTGAGGCTTCCAATAAATTTGGCAAGGTTTCACACAGTGCTAAGGTGGTTATTGGCACGCAGGAACCTCAAGTCCTTCCTAAGGGGAAGCGGGTTAAACGAAGTGCTGACAGTGAGACAGAGAGTTCATCTGGCAGTGAGCTGGATGATGCTTTCCGGAAAGCAGGAAGGAGACTCCACAGGCTCTTCAGGGCCAAGATCTCAACAGAGATATCTGACGTGGAAGAAGAGCTCTTTGTCAGTGCAGACGAAGGGGACGTGGAGGTGGTCGACCACCAGACGTATCGTGAGGACGATCAGTACATCTACATCAAGTTCGAAATTTTGTCCGAGGCAAAAACTGCTGCCACCCGATTCAGAGAGATGTTTGGTGCCCTGGGAATTCCCGTGGAGATTGACATTTTGGAACAAGGCCCTAAAAAGATTGAACTGCGTATTGGGAAGGCAACGCCGCCCACCCATGGGAAGTTTGCACCATCAGTGATGAGACCTCCACCTCCTTTGCTGACTTCTGATACAGGTAGGTGAAGAAAACCTGGTTATTCGTTGGAAAAGACAGCTGGAACTGGTCACAATGTTATCATTTCACCCATTAATAACTGCTAAAAAGACTTTGTTTATCATTTAGTGCAGACATTTTTCTGGAAACTTTGCCCTTTTGGAAAAAATAACAATTTTTTTCATTCTTTTTCCCTTTGAGGAGGGGGATTAGGGATGAAGAAGGGGGTTGCAAAGTTTTGACTGATCTACAAAACCATTTTTCACAGCAGAAATGTCCCCTACTACAATTAACTCATTGCAACGCTCATGGTGTTATGGAACATCATTGTGTTTGTCAGGGAGTTTCTTCTTGACTCTTTTCATAGAGAAAAGATATCACTTTGCAGTTAAAAACCCCAGAAATCTTCAGGCACTGGGCAGCAGCACTCTTAAAATACATCTTTTAACAAAACTTCTTCCTTTCTCCTCTCTGAACTACCCTGACTTTAGCTCCCATGTTCCTGACTGAGCTCCAAAACCAAGAGGTACAAGATGGATACCCAGTCAGCTTCGACTGCATCGTAGTTGGGAAACCTCTCCCCACGGTCCGCTGGTTCAAGGATGGCAAAGCTCTTGAAGAAAACGACCACTACATGATCAACGAGGACCAGGAAGGGTGCCACCAGCTGATCATCACAGCCGTGGTCCCCACCGACATGGGCGTTTACCGTTGCCTGGCTGAAAACAACATGGGAGTGGCTTCTACCAAGGCTGAGCTTCGAGTTGACCGTAAGTCCCAAAATCACTGAATAAAAACCAAGGGAAGGGGTCCTGCTAAGGGGTGGATAAATCTTTTTTCAAGAAGAACACCATTTATGGGTTTTTTAAAAATGTATGTGTTGCCCACAAAGAGTTTGGCTTGCAAACCTTGAGTTCAGTTGGGTTTTGCCAACTCCAAGGCATGCCTCAGAGTAAAGACAGAGGTCTTGTCCATAATCCAGGGACATGTGGGTTCCTCCTGCAGTAAAAGTGTAAAATCAGCCTCCCAGTCGCTCAAATTAGTAAAGAAACTATAATTACAGGAAGAAAAATACTTTTAAAGCTCAGATTATAGAAAGCACTTCTCTTCCCCACCCCTGGGGACATTCAAGATCAGGCTGGATGAGGCTCTGAGTAGCTTGATCTAGATTGAGATGTCCCTACTTGTGGTGGGGGGGTTGGACTAGATGCCCTTTGGAGGTCCCTTCCAGCCCAGACATTCTATGACTCTATGATTTCCATTTAACAGTGACCAGCACCGACTATGAGACAGCAGCAGATGCAACAGAGACATCATCCTACTACAGTGCCAAAGAATATATTTCAAGGTAAAATATCAAACTCCAGCTCTTTCTGACTTGAGAAGGTCAATATGTGTATTTATGTCAAGCCTGGTTTTGCTGTATCTAGCAGGGTGCTGGATCTGTTGTCATGATGACCAAACCCACAGATTGAATTCACCTAAAATAGGTGACTGTGATTCCTCACTCTTTTCTGGCTTGCTGACTTTTCTTCTTTCTCCTTCAAATCCCTTCTTAGCCGAGAACAGGAGGAATCTACCAATGAGGAGGAGCAATTGCCCCAGATCTTCGATGAGCTTCACGATATTCATGTGGCACCTGGAGCATCACTGGCCAAATTTCACCTGAAGGTGAAAGGTGAGGAGAACATTATCAGTTGTTCCAGGTTTATGGTGAGGTTGGAGTCCTGGACAAGTGTTTCAGACGTTCTTTTCTGCAGTTGTGGCCCCAGTCTGTGCATCTTGCACTAAATTTGCACAAAAGAGCTAGAAGAACATGCTCACGCTGATCAGCTTTGACTTCTGCAGCAGGTTGAGGCAGATGAAGTGTCTCATTCTGTCTCCATGTCTCCAGGCATAATTATGGGCATGTGCTTCTGAAAATTGAGTCCTAGAATTCTCTGAGCACATGAATTATGGAGGAGCAGTAAGGAATAAAATAAGATGGTGGGGATGTCTTTATTCTTTTTTTCTATTAATTTATTCTTTTTAATAAATGAAACAGCCCTGACTTGCTTTAGTCTGAGGGGATTGTAGCTACAACCTTAGAACTGCAAAACCACCCTTCTGGTGTTGGTTAGCTGTGGTAGGGAAGGGTAGAGAATTTCCAGTTTCCTCCAGTTTCTGCCTGTTTTAGCTTCAACTTTTCTCTTCGTGTGCATTGCAAACCAGACCTAAGCATTGACTTTCCAACCTGGAAGGCACCTCTACATGCAGACAGTGTGAGGAGTGCCAGAAACTGGAGGGACAGGGGAGAACTTTAGCAGATAAATAGAGTTTCATTACTTTGCAGCCATTCCTAGTTGGGTAAATCCTTGAAACAGCAGAGCTGAAGATTCCATCCTTCAGGAGAGCTCCCAAATTGATGCTGCTAATGCATTCTGGTCTCTATGTCTGTAACTGCTCCTCACAGGGTACCCACAGCCTCGTCTCTACTGGTTCAAAAATGGACAACCACTGAAGCCCTCGGATCGCATCCTGAAGACCGACAAGCGGGAGTTCCACTCGCTGGAGATCCGTGATGTCACTAAGGCAGATGCTGGCCAGTACTCCATATTTGTCATCAACTCTGCTGGCTCTGCTTATTCGTCGGCCAGGCTGGTAGTCAGAGGTGGGTATGGGTCTATTTGGGACACCTGCTTTACTCTGCTTCAGTGGCTCTTTCCATTCCTGTAGCTGTTTTTCTGGAGGAAGTCTACCAAGGTAAGTCAAGTGAGATGGGGAAGTCTGTAGATAAAAGATGGTGTCCCTCCTGACAGAAGATCTTGAAGGTCCCTTCCAACTCCAAACGTTCTAGGATTCCATTTTTCTCTGTTTTAATCTTGCTTCACCTATAAATTTACTCTGTCCCCAAGATGAGACACGTCACCTCTCTAGGGTCTGACTGCTGTCTCATAAACATACATTTCATTCCTGCCCAACCTCATTAACTTCAATTTTATTAAAACTGAGAGCCTCTTATCCATCATGCTAATATTTCTGTGTAATGTCTCTTTGTAAGGTGTAGTCCCCTGGAGTCACTATTTTTTTGTTTTCTTCAAATTGTGGACAGAAAGGTGTTTGTATTTGTCATTTTGGGTTTTTTTTCTCCTTGTGTTACAGATCCTGATGAGAAAGAAGAGCCATCAGAGACAGGTGAGAGAAGCCATAGCAGGTGATAAAAGAACCCCTTGGAATTTTTCATTTCAGAGCAGTCTAAACTCACACAGGAGGTGTCACCATGTTTCATCAATAATATCATTTTCAGATTCCCATGAGCAGCTGATACCACCAAGGTTCCTAGAAAGATTTACCAACAAAAAGGTGAAAAAAGGTGCAAGCATCACATTATCTGTAAAAGTTGAAGGTAAGTGGATGGACACTTTGCCTCTCTGCATAACACCTCAATTTCATAACTTCATGACACATTCTAGACCCTCTGGCCCAAGTCATTGCAACATTATCTCCTCTGTCTGAAGTCTGGGACTCTTCTCCCAGGATTGTTGGGACTCTTCTCCCAGATTTGTTGGGACTCTTCTCCCAAGTTTGTAAGAGACTTTAAGTACTTCAAAGGAAAGCATCTTACTCATCTTCACCTCCATTTATCTGTATGTAAAAACAAGGATAATAACAGTTTTTAGTCTCATGAAGATGTGTTGATTAGCAGGTTTTGTTTTACAAAAAAGGTTTATTGTCCTTATGGGTATGCTGTAGAAAGGTCTATGTGCCTTTATTATATATTATGCCTGGTATTGTTGGAAAAGTATCAGGAAACAGATTAAAATAGCATTTATTTATTCATAAGGAAGGAATAGCATTGGGAAAATTAAAGCTCATTGCATTGGTTTTCCTCTAGGACATCCACCACCAACTATTACTTGGCTGAAAGAAGAGTCTCGGGAAGACATCCTGTGGATCAAACCAGACACCCCTGGATATAAACTTGCCAGCTCAAACATGCATCACAGCCTAATCCTATTGGATGTTAAAAAGAAATACAGTGGAGCTTACACATGCATTGCTACCAACAAGGCTGGCCAGTCCATCTGCACTGCCACCCTGGAGGTTGCAGATGGTAAATCTTTGTTACTATACAAACATGTTCTCCATGTTACCTTTACAGCCTGAAATTAAAACAAATGTGATTGATAAGGGATTTAATCAAATCACAACTGGAAAAAAAAGGCATTTTCCCAAGATTAGCCATGACTTTGCTTGCCTTGCAAATAATTACACTCTACTTCTATAACTTTTTATATTTCTGACCCTATCTTGGGTATACAGCAGCATCTTTTCTGTATAAGCAGAAGACAAGTCTAAGAAAGCACCAAATTAAGCACAAAGGAAAAAGAAAGACAATGTAAAATAACTACAAAAAGGCACCACTTGAAAATTTATTTTGAGTGCTTCACTCTGCTGAGGTATTTTGCACTGTAGAACTGCCTTAAGGCAGCTAGAGTTATTTGGTTGCTCTTTTGCAGAGCTTTCCAGGGCCTCTTCTAGCACAATTCCTTCAGTGAAGAGGAGACCAAGCAAATATCAGCTGGGAGTAGGGGCAGCACTGTGAAGGACTCAATTTCTTCGTTGTCCTTCCTTATATCCCATGTTTTTTTACTGTACTAAGAGCTACAGGAGCATAGTTTGAAGAGTGAAGAGAAATGGGGCAATCATACACCTATGTGAATAGGGAGAGGAGCAAACTATTTGCATCTTAGGAGTGGGAGTATGTCCCTCAGGTCAGGAGCTGCCAATGGGGTAGATCCAGTATTCCAGTGTTCCCAGTAATCCATGTCTAGAAAGCATGCCTGCATTAAATAAATAAAAAGAACATTTTATGCCTTCTGTCCTCTAATGATAAACCCTAATCTTGCAGTGAAAGAGGCTGAAGTTCTGACCCAGGAGCGTGTGATGGTGTCAGAAGCCATCATGACCACACTGGGGTAAGTGGTTGGCTGGTTGTCCACATTGAAGTGAGCAGTGAAGGTACCACCATGAGTCATTTCTAGGAATTGTTCCCTTTGGACATCTTATATTCATGTCTCAGCAGCAGAGTTAAAGTAGTTTGAGGTCCTGGGATGGAAAGGGCCATTCTAGCATCAATGTCAGACATTGATGGTTGATTTTCAGGGAGGAAAGGAATAAAGACAAAAAACCCAACAACAAAAAGGGTAGTCATAAAAAAACTTTTGTTATTTTTTCACCTCCTTAGCAGAACTCCAAAAAAATTCACAGGTTCAAGGTCTGGCTGTTACTTGCCAACACTGACATATGTGCTTCACAGAAAAAAAGTAGAATCATAGGACTGGCTAATTTGGAGAAGACCTTTAAGATCAAGTCCAACCATTAACACTGAACTGCCAGGACACCAAAAAAACATGTCCCTCAGCACCACATCTCCATGGCTTTTCAATCCCTCCAGGGGTGGGGACTCCACCACTGCCCTGGGCAGCCTGGCACAGCTCTGGACAGCCCTTGCAGGGAAGAAATTGTTCCTGAAGTCCAACCTAAACCTCCCCTGGGGCAACTTGAGGCCATTTCCTCTTGTCCTGTTGGTTGTTCCTTGGGAGAAGAGCCCAACCCCCACCTGTCTCCAACCTCCTTTCAGGTAGTTGTAGAGAGTGAGAAGGTTTCCCCTGAGCCTCCTTTGCTCCAGACTAAAGGGTCTGCTCACAAACTTCTTGTTTCCAAATGCACCTGAAGAATAACCTCCTAAATTCACCATTCTTGGCTTGGATGCTGGGCAGATGCAGACTGAAAAGCAGTATCCACCTGAACACACTTGAGCCTCTAGAATCTGTGCAGCCTAAGAGACTTGACCAGTCTTAAGTGTAAAGAAAGTGAAGAAGGCTGCAGTGAAGCCATTTTCACTCAGTGTTGACAATATGTTCTTCTGCCCCTTTCCTGCTGGCAAGAATGAATTTGGAGCTGGTAAAAGCTGTCAGTGGGGTTCTCTTTGGACCTCAGAACCACTGCAGTACCACCAATCAGCTTGTTTCCCCAACACATGGTCATCCTGATGGGATGGGAGCAGAGCTCTTGGCAGGACCACAGCATCTGCATGTCCTCCAGTCCTTGGTTTC